TATATATATATGTATATATTAGATTATAGTTACTAATATCAAATAAAAATATGAGCATTAAGAAGGATAACAAAATACTTCTGTACTGTACTTTGCAGTGAAGATTATGTTTTTTTTTGTAGCACATAGAGCACATAATTTTTTGGTTGTCAGATAAAAACTTTACAAAAAGTTAAGTTGTTGATGATGTACTGGACTTAATGCTACTCGCTTCTATCCCCTGTGCCTTGAAAAAGGTCAGTTGATGAAGAATTGAAGTTACAAGATGATCGTGAGAAAGCTGATTCGTATTTTGCAATTTTCAAAGATTCAAAAAACAAAATTTGTGTTCCAATACTTTTGGAGAGCAACAAAACTATAAAGCACTCGTAAGACGAACACTCTTTTATCAAAAGATTAATAGATATTTTATAGATTTCTGAGATTTTTATAGATCATTATTCTATAGATTATACATATGCAGTGGTGGTCAAAATCCTTTTAAACTGCGTTAACAAATTGAGGATCAAAATTATTAAAGAATATATTTTTCAACCACTAAATGCGTAAAAGTTGACAACTTCGGTGTTACCGATAACTGATTATAAAGAAAAATAATAACTGATTATAAAGAAGAAGAATATTTTGGTATGATATTGAGGCACATTGTTTTTTTCAAAACTAACGTGGCTGTTAATTGCAGAAAATGACTATTTAGATGCAACTTATTATTAGATTCAATATTAATTAGATTCAACGTATTAACAACTTTTTCTTATAAGACTCTTCACTTCATTATGTGTGATCGGGCAATCGTTTACCCGTCTGACTCATATTCTGCGAGAATAAGAATAGCGCTTTTTTTTAAAAGAATGATAGCATGTTTGTGATTAAGTTAAATGAATATTTTATTCGTTTCGCTACGATTGTTTAAAAGCATAACAACGCCGAGATTTCAGAGCCCAAATATAGATTTTAGTATTATTAAAATATTTCGATAGATACGGACATCGTGCTTATCTAAAACTAATGGTAACAATAAAAAAAAATAATAAAAATAATATTTTTAAAAACCACGTTTTTGTAGTGGAGAATAATAATAAAAAAACAAAAATTTGAACGTGGGGAGCATGAAATACATAACAGTAACAGTATTAGTGCTCATGAGAATATGTGTATGTATATCTGTAATTGTATCTGGATGTAATTGTATGCGGATGTGTATGTGGTTGTGCATGTGTATGAGTAAGAAAATGTGTATATGTACTGTTATGTATTTCATGCGCCCCTCGTTTTTCAAATTTTTGTTTTTTAATTATTAATCTCCACTACAAAAACGTGGTTTTTAAAAATATTATAATTTTTTTTTTTGTACTCATTTCCAAAATCTTAATTTTTTCACTCACTGTTCACAAAACTT